AGTGTTCTAGAAATGATAAAAGCTATTTTTGCTGTAGAGGGAATATGCATTTTCTATTTGCACACGTAATTTTTATAGATAGGAAAGAATGATGGAATGGCGTTAAAACAGAAATTCTCGTCCTGAACTTATAGAAAGACACTTTTCCATACGAGTGACATAAGATCCATATTCATTTATTTTGATAACTGGGTCTTACATGTAATTGAGAGGACTCAATATATTCATAACACTTCTATGATAGCATCGATATGTTTCGAGAACAGTAGTCCTGTCTTAGAAAATAAACCGGTAAGGAGGAGAGGGGTTCATGAATGTCTTATGAAATTGATAATTGAATATTGCTTTACTCAATAATAGGACTTTTCATCCAGATAAAGAGATCATCCACTTAAAGACAGAATATTTTTACAAGGATGGTAAATTCTAGGTGTCTAGGGGGCTAGCAGTTTACCTGTGGTCATCTGGCTCCTACTCCCTATATACAGGAAGTGATTTAATACACAGAGAAATACCTAGGTGTCAAAATTTACCTGTGTTGAGGATTATTTTGAGACAATTTTAAATTAGTAGTACATGTAAAAAGGTTTCTTGATTTACTTTTGAATGTTTGAAAAGACCCCTACCCATTATAAAATATTATGATATCATGCTATCAATTCCAATATTAAAACAAAGATTATTTTAGATGTTAGTGTATGTGATTACTTAAAAAAAACTCCTGTAACAATCAGATTTGACTTAAAATCATTCATCCCCAGGTCCCATCTATTAATTGAAAAGAACGTGATGTTGAGTACATTAATTTCATTTAAAATATCTAGGTTTACATGTATCCTAATCTTGATCAGTCTTTGCCACCATGAAACATATTTTTAAATTTAATTACTTCACACAGTGATGCTCTGAACTTGATCAAAACATTTCCATTTTAGGTTTGCCATTCAAAATTAGCATATTAAAATTAAAACACTGTAGGTTTTTACGCTGCAGTGTTGCATTTGCACCCATTTTGTACCTCGGATGCTCTTGAACTCTGTTAGTCTGTAGATATACTTGAACTTCTGATTTGCATAGTGGAAGGAACTGTTAAGAAGCTACTCCATTTTTATGCAGTGTCGGGCGAGGGGTGTTTCTCAATTTTTATACATGGGTGTATATACGAGGGTTGTCCCAAAAAGTCGTAGATAATGTTAATAACTTTTTTAACACGCAACCAATACTAGCCAAATTTTGCATAGACATAATAAATTTCATGTTCTTTTAAATTGTGAATTCTCAAATAAATATCTTTCATATTAATTGTATTGGGACGTTTTATATGAAGGCTGATATGGTCTGTCGGCGCACGACCAAAATTCGGAAAAATTTACCCATATAGCTATTACATTTGCTTTTATTTCTTTGGTACTATGACGAAGATTGAACTAAAATATAAATCGCTGAAACTAGAATCAAAATCTTAATATTATTTCAAAATTTCGTATAAATTGAATTAGAAACAGACGACTAATGGCATGATTTTCAAAGTCTTATGGAATTGAGATTGATGAAAATGACGTTGTCGAACGCATACCCGGCGCACGGATATGTAATAAATTGTTTTTGGTATGTTTTATATTCATCAGAGACGGGGAAAAGAGTACAGAAAGGACATTACACACTAGATTTTAATAGAGAAGTTGTTTTTAAATAGCACGAGATTCAAAGATAGTTTTCCTTATAGATCGAAAAAAAAATAGTCATTGCCTGTAAGAAGTAGAGTACTGTTTGTTAAAAGAAGACATTTGGGAACGTTCTGGACCATGAAAGTCGTGAAACAAGTGTATTCTCTGCTGCCTAAAAATTAAGGTACAGCTGTAATCTTGCAACTAATTTTGACTAAAATTTGAATCTGCTTAAGAAAATGGACAGTAGCGAATTTAAATAAGTCCCTTAGTCAAGAGTGGTTTTTCACTATAAAAAATTCACTTTGATGTAAATATCTGCATGTGAAGCAGAAAACGAAATCACGAAGTCATGAGAAACGTAAATTACGCTTGCTTTCGTGCGCCGATGTACACTTACATGGTTTCTTTATTTTTTCATATTTTTCTTATTAAATGTGGTATCGTCATGAAACTTGAAATGCATGATCATGAAATGTTACTTTTTGCAATGACAAGAAAAGAAATTTGATATGGCAAAGAGAAAATAAACTATGTTCCCTGTCTACGACTTTTTAGGACAACCCTCGTAATTATAGTTTAGATGGTATTTTCAATTAAATATATCCTGCAACATGAGTAATTAAATGAAATCAAACCATTTTGATGATATTTCATTTTTATTAGATTAACATATTTAAGTAAAACCGCTCTGAGTTTTCTCTAGTGACAATTCACATGTATATGGATAGTCAAAATGTACTAGCGTTAATATTTTCATGCCGCTAATTAAGTCTTTTTATTTTGTTGCATGTACTGAATTTATTTTATTAATTACTACTTCAGTTTTATTTACTCACAGCCAAAATCCACTCAGTGCTTTCAATATTTGATACTTATATAACGTTTATAGTTAAATAGAAACTTAGAAAACTCCTTTTTTATGTGTAAAATAGGTACCATATCTTTAGAAATAATATACAACTACAAATCAAAGATATATAATACAATGTTTTAATCAAATGATTATATAAGCTTTTTTTCAGCATCATACGCTGTGCATTTTATAAAGATTTACATTCAAAATACGCAAAATGTGGATTCATCAAAATTCTTGTCTTAAAAAATATCTTGAACCTTAAATTTAAAAAAATCTTCGAATGTATTACTTAGGTCTGATGTGTTTTCGCCATAAATAAACATTATTTTTATCATTTGCATCCAGAAACACGCACATAAACTTGATATGAATAGACCTACCCTCATTTTTCTTAAACTGATTGCCATTTGTGATCTCGTAATCACGTGATTTGGGTGATCGATTTTAAAAAACAAACATAAAACCATTAAATAGAATGGTTATAGATATAGAATATCACATTTTAAAGTGATTTTAAAGTGATTTTATCGTAGGCCAGAAAATTGCCTTATAGAGAATTATCCTTTTTATTACATTAATGAAACATCAATGAAACATTTGGAGATAAAGAACAGTACTCAAGACTAAAAGTCCATAAAACAAAACAGGAGCAGATCAAACAAGGACCTCCAAAACATCATAGATGGGATCATGTGCCATTGAGTAATAAGCACCACCTACCGACCGGTCAAACTCGCTGCGTGCTCCTAGTCATGATTAGAAAATAACCTGAAAAAAATCCGTCGTCAATTAAATATGTAACTAATGGACTAACAATTAGTATGAAAAATGTCTGTCAGCAGAGGACTCAATGATAAATTGTATTTGCTGACAAAGTCATTGTATTGACCATAGAACTAACAAAATGATGACTTTAAACGAGACCGCTGATATTCTTGTTTCATCAACTTGGTTGTAAATAATGTACCTCGTTTTAGAAATTGTTCATACAAACAGCGTGTTCTTGCGTATCGAATCAACTAAACTTTGATATATAAGCTCATGTGATGAAGGTATTTTGCTGCATAAGTAAGAGAAGTTGACTATAGAAAAGTTTTAGTCAGCATGTTTATCATAGAGCTTGGTTGTTAGATTACCATTAACGTCTTTTTCAAGTAAACGCAAAAATTAAATAACGCAAAATGCAACAAGGAGAAGAACGTTATAACATTTGGCGTTAATCATAAAGCAAAATGCAACAATCGTAATTATTATATATTTGTTATACAATACCTGATTTTCTGCATCCCTTATATGAACACAGGCACGCGCCCTGTATTACAAACCCTGTATCATCACCCTTTATTACATCTCTGTTCCTTTCATACGGAGTACCTCGGATCTTTTTACTATCATATTCAATATGTTGTTTTCATTTGAATACACAAGGAGCCTAATAATTGAGTCACATGATCACTAAACGACGTCTTAACTTAAACTCTTTTCAAATATATAAAAAAAAACAACAATACATGACATAATCTTTATTACACCCCATATCAACCCTCGACTAATATCAGCCTTCTGGCTTTCCGGTGATATTAGAGTCTTGCGTTGATATGGGGTGTTATACAGATTTTGCCATGTATTATTCTCTGTATTCTCTATATCATGTTATGAAAGTTTGCATTGTAACATTCTGCGTTGATCTCGACGAAAAATGAAATAACACAGACTGTAATAAGCCCAATTAATTATATTTTGCATAGTTATTACATTTTGCATTTTTTAAAAAAACTGTTTAAAATTCTGCATGTAGTCCAGAAAAATACCTCAATAAACTGGCTCTAAATGAGGCTAGCTAAAATGCATCAAGGACAAGCAATTTAAATCAAGACAGCTCATTAATGTTTTTCATTATCAATTTTTCTGATATCCCCTTTCAATATAAGTATTGCTCAAATGAAGTTTGTATTACACTTCCATATAAAAAAATCTTACATACGTTGATAAAGACTACGAACTGTCTGATATCCGTTATGCAAAAAATTACATTTTAGAAAGAAAAAGTCAAGATTTTTCATATCGGATTCGAGATGTGTTTAAAAATGAAAAATATTTCAAGATGTACATAATTATGCATTGTTACCTAAATGCGAACGAACGAATGAAACCTGGCATGATTCGTCAATCAATCTTAGGACTGCAAGGAATAATTCATTAGATACTTTATTTTTTATTCATTTATTGGGGAATGTTAGCTAATTAATGAAAGATAATCCCAATGCACAAAGAAAACGTTTCTAAAAACAACCTAAGCTTATGAATACACACGCGCACAGATTGAAGGAGAAAAATTTAATTCTAGTGACATTTTCAAGGATAATTTTTTTACGACATTTAATCGAGTTAAACATATCTGATGAGGTGATTTTTTTTCATTCCTAAAAGTATATGCATTTTATTTCTGTATTATTTACTGATATTGCGTATCATTTACAAAAGTGGCAAGGGCGGCTAGTGCAAGTTCGGTGTATGGAGGCACTAATCATGCCTTGTGGAATGCAGCCAATGCAGTGGATGGAATAATAGAATGTGGCAAAGATAGCAGTGCGATACTGGCTCACACCGACTATCAGAAAAATCCCTGGCTGAAAGTCAGTCTAGAGAAAACCAATAATGTGGATAGAGTTTTGATTTACAATAGGCAAGACTGCTGTGGTAAGAATTATTTAGTAAGATTGGCTCCTGATATTTTAAGTCTTAAACTTTTTCTGTCAAGCATATTATTAGTTTCTACACACTTAGCTTCATTAAAATTCAAATCAAAAAACGGGAGTCGATATGCTTCCTTTGGCACAATAGGGCATTTAACATTGCCTTTTTGCAATGAAAATGGTGTCTTAATAATAAAAATTATTAAAATCCTCTACAGTTTCCCTCCAATATTTTTTCCCAAATTAAGCATGGGACAAAATAAACTTCTTTTTCTTCTTCTTCCATCAATGTGCCTGGCATCAAAGTTGGGCATTATCGCACTATAACTCCATTTCAAATATAGAGTTTCAAATTGCTTCGCATAATCAATTATTTGACCTTTCTGCAGTCACAAAATGTGATTTTCCTATCATTGAAAATTTGATAAGCAAGAAATTTTTTTAAAGTCTTAAACTTTTGCTGAATTTAAGCAGATAGGTCAAAGTTATCTTAAATATTCAGAAAAGAACATCAAAAGAGGGGGTATATGTTTTTCTTTTTTTTTTTTTTTTTTTTTTTTTTTTGTTATTGCTAAAAAAGTGTTAATATTTTGTATAATTTGGCTCAATCTTTTCCTGGACTTTCAGAATATATTTACTATATTTTTTTCAAAATTCGTTGAACGAATTCATCAGAAATATTTTAAATAAATATTTCAGAACCATCATAACACATTTCATTGCAAAATAACAGCTTTGTATACAACCTTCACGGAAAATAGGAATCTAAAATTAACAGTACTGTATTTACTAGTTCAAAAGGGAAAAATTGATCATTTTCTTTAGAAAAAAAAAACCTTCCGACACAAAATATAGTTCCTGACTTAAACCTAGCTGAATGGAATTTAATAGCGTTTTTTTTTTTTTTTTTTTTTTTTTTATTTTATTTTATTTAATATAGTTCAATTTGCATTGTGGAATACTGATTTATTGTTACAACTTTAAAATGATGCAAAATTTTAGAAATAAAGGTCCAGACCAAAATCAGCTGATGGAACCTCCTTAAATGTTGCATGAAGTACAAAAATATTTCAATGATTATAAAATGTACACTGTACGTGAAACGCAAGGTTTTTTCAGACATTAAATAATTTTATTCTAGAAAAAAGAGCAAATTGACTGACGATTCTGAATTTTATTTATTTTACTTATTCTAATCATATTCTTATAAAATATACTTCATCAGTAAAAAAAAAATACAGGAGTAAATAAACCAAGTTATGGACTAGTTGACTAGTTTAACGGTGAAATCTTAACTTCAATTTACTACCGTATAAGTGGAAATTTTGCGAGACGCAAATATAGCGAATTCTCTTTAAAAATTGGTATTTTATTTTTATATGTAATTTTAGCGATTTTAAAAAGCTCATCAAAAAGCTTTTACAAATAAAGCGAAATTAATGATATTTATTTTTAGCGGTCTTAGCACCCTCGATAATAATGCCAAAATTAAATCCTCGCCAAAAAATCTACTTATACGGTATAGAAACATGACTTGTAAATTTGAATTAAAATTGTAATTTATAAAAGCGACGTATTGCAGTTAGTTGGTGCAAGTATATTTTCACTTAATGCTCTGACCAAGTGAGAACTGTTGCTAAAAGGTGCAAGGTGGTCAAAAGAATGTATTGCTTCAGTTACTATGTTTGGCGCATTCCCTGAAAAAAAAAATGGCAAAAAATTAAATGCGATATTTTTACCAAAACATTTCAGGCATTATCTTCTAATTTTCCATATGTGTCTTCCATGAAATTGTGCTGTATTTTTTTTTACAGGAGAACGACTACATAATGTACGAGTAAGTGTCACGGACAATGGACGTAATATATCGTGTGGTTTCTACCCCGGACCAGCCGCCAATGGAGACCGTATCCTGTTTCTGTGTGAAAAGGAAACCAGAGGGAATGAAGTTACCATTTCTATATTATCAAAAGACGGACAATTGGATTTCCTTAATGTTTGTGAAGTAGAGATTTATAGCCGGACTTAAAAATATATACCGATATATTATTCACTAGCCACACTTTGATGAAATATATTTCTTTGTTTACATGTATAATACCTGTTTAAATTGAAGCAGCGGATTACACATAGGAATTAACATTATTTAAACAGGTTTTCGCCTTCATTTTGGTTGATTTCCTTTTTTTTTTTTTTTTTGAATTGTAATTGTACAGGTCATCAATCATTTTTAGCAATGTGCTTATGATAAAAGAGTAAAATTGAATGGCATTACTAAACGAAAAAAATGCTGATAAGCCAAATATTAACTGATATCTGATATTATGTTGTCTTTGCTTATAAATACTGCTATTCGCTGATATCAATAATTATACGGTACTTTTAAAAAAAAATTCCTACTGCTGACCAGTTTTAATTAATAAATTCTTTTTGTTTGTTTTGTTTTTGTAATTTCCTTTTTATTATACCCCCCCCCCCCCCCCCCCGCTTGAAAAGTGAGAGAATATATAGTAATCGGTATGTCCGTCCGTCCGACTGTCCATCTGTCCGTTTGTTTGTTACGCTTTGGGGTACCCATCTCTTATCGGCAACTCCTCTTATACCACTGAGTGAAATTTAATGAAACTTTCACAGAATCTTTATTACGTATTGCCATTGTGCACCTGCTATTTTACGTTTTGATCCGACACGTATTTTAGGTTTCCAATAGCAAAACATGGGCATTGCCATTATATTCTTACCTACGACGTGAGATATAGCGGATTCTGAATAACATAAGATTCCACGAGTTATTCCTTTTTTCACGTTACCGTAAAACAATATAGCAAAACATGGACATTATGGAAGTCGGGGGTATCATTTAGTTAGCTCATTGCTCACAGTACCTCTATTTACATTGTTTTTGCGATTCATTATAAACATTGCTAGAAATACTATTGATACTGAGTTTTGCTGATATTTACCATGACTAAAGACTTAAAGTTCACCTTATTTGTAATAGAAATGACATTTCGAGGACACTTTAAATATCCTGTTATGGTAATATGTACACGTACATTTTAAATGATACTATACGTACTATGAGAAACTATGCTATGGGAAACTCGAAATATGTGTCAGATCAAAAAGTTAAACAGGAGGTCACTATGGCAATATGACATAACGATTCTGTGAACATTTCATCAAATTGGTTTTAGCTTTATTGCGCCCTAAAAATGTAATGACATCAAAAAGTTTTGAAACTGGCTTAAATATTAGTTAAATAAATGACTCTTATAAATCAGGAAAGAATGTGGCATGAAGGTTTACCATTCTGCAAATATGATGTCATTAATGTGAAGCATTTCTCTATTTTCAACAGAAAAAGCCTCAAAATGGCACATTTCAAGGGTGATTTTCCTTTAGAAAACAGTGTCCACAGCCGTCGCCCACTTTAATTTTTTTATATTTTGTGCAAAATTTAATAACAAATCACATATCTCAAGATCTTTGTGGGCGATGCCTGTGGACAATGTTATCTGAAAGAAAATTCCATTGAAAATTGGTGTCTTCTGCAACTTTTTAAGAAAATACGGGAAAATGCACATGTTTATGACGTCATAGTTAGCATTTAAAAACACATGTGAGAAAAATGACTTGTATGATTTTTCTGCATTGAATTTCCATTATTTAAAAAGCATGAGTTTTCAACTTTTACACCAGTTTCATTTTTTAAGAAAATCACAGGGCAAAATCTGTATGGAAACCATACCTTCTTCTTTCACTCAGTGGTATGAGAGGATCGAGTTGCGGATAAGACATGGGTTTCTTCAAAGCGTAACAGACTGATGTACAGACAGCTAGACGTACAGACGGACGTTCATCCCTATTACAATATACCCTCCCAATTTTTAAGATGTCACAATCGCACCATGTTATAAAATATATGTGAGAGTATCATTACATTTTATTCAATGGTATAGGAAGAGTTGTTGATAAAAGGCATATACCTGTAAATATTATAGAAAGAATGTCAGTCTATATGCTCTTTTTACTATGAGAAACCGGACATGTGTGTCCGGTCTAATAGTAAATAAGAATGTGTATAACTGCACTATGTATCTACGATAATTTTGAAAGTCTCAATAAATATAATTCAGGGGAGTTGCGCATAATAGATTGGTACCCCAAACCGTAATTGACGGACGTACTTATATGCAGACAAACGGACGAATACCCCCATCATTACTTATCCCTTCTATGATTAAAATCTTGAAATTTCATTGGCTTTGAGCTAAACAGTATTAAACGATGTTAACGAGTGGTAATTCGGCAATGCGTGGGGTCCTTGGAAAAATGTATATTGGGCGAAGCGTAAGCTTACGCCTCGCCCAAAATGTATTTTTCAAGGACCCCACATATTTCCTAATTATTACCCCTCTAAGAATCTACAGAAGTAATAGTACCCCATGCTTTAAAGGTGAAATATCCCTCTACTCCAAATTTCACACATTTTCTTTTTTGATTCCAAATATTGATTTCTATCAAAACAAAAGCATTACATTCAAATGGAAATACTTTGAAGTATGAAGCCTTGCCTACTTTTTCAGAAATGAATAATATGTCAAATCATGATGTCAAGAAAATTTGATATGGTAAATAGAAAGTTCAAATTATTTTTAATCTCAAAATGAATAATAAATATGAGATATATATGAAATAACATTTACACTCATGCCTATATAATTCTCATTAGAAAACATACTGAAGCGTTGCTTTTTAAATCAGAATATCAAATTGTTTTTTTGTGCTTGTAAAATAGTATGTATCCATCAACAAAAGTTATCTTTCCAAGATCACCCGGGTCCTACGGATGAGACCTTAAAAACCGAGGTCCCGTGTCAGCGGCAGGCGTTAGCACGAAAAAGATCCCTCACTGCTCAATGGTCCTGAGTGCTGAGTAGAGGTCAAAATTTGAAGCCCTTCACCGGCATACGGTGACGTCTCCATATATGTGAAAAATTCTCGAGAGGGAAGTTAAACAATGTACAATCCATCAATCAATCCACGATCACCCTTGAAATTATTTTAGTGAAACAAACTATTAATTAAACCTTCATAAACAGTTCTGTATTTGAAATTTCTGTAACAATTAAAGGACTTATACGTTAAAAGATGGAAATATCTCAGTTTACACTGTTTAAAAAACTGAATGTAAATATTTAAGGTAAACTATGATAAATTATTATTGAAAATATTGGCAATAGAAACTAGAAATAAACATCTGTACGATAGAACATATTCGACCAAGTTGACTATAAAGTGGTTTTGTAAAAGCTGAGATGACAATTCAATGTATTTCATGAAAAACTATCTTCAGAAAGTTATCTCTATTATCAGATATGGTTGGATATTACACCTTAAGCAGAGGAATAAAGATCATATTAACATATAAACATGGATACATTACAGAAACAGAAAAACAAATCATCATTATTGATATTCGTAAAAATTTTGGAAGCACTGTGCAATAACATATTTAAGAAGTGAAGCTGAATGTTGTCTTTAAGCTTATGAAATTAGCAAAACTGTTTCAGCATGCGACTTGAGAAGCAGAAAATAAAATTTTATTTTATTTACAGGTAAATATAGTTTAATAGATACATACAGGCCTTTAGACCGCTCAAAAGCATATTTTTTAAAAATCGGACTGTAATAGGTGTGTACATACAGAAGGAACCTACTTTCGTTAATGAAATACTTCTCAATTATAATTATGTTTTTTTAATTCCAGTTTCTTTAAGGTAAATATACAGATTTTTTTCAGGTAGAAAATCATATTTTCAAAGGGATAATATATTTTTATTTTGTTTCTTTCAGAAACCTATATTTTGTAATAAGGTCCGTTTTTTGAATTATTAAATTTCAATTTTTAAAAAGTGATATTATATTATATAATCTCACAATAGCCATACCATTTCTAGGAATGGCACAGCTCTAGATAATGCAGGGTTGTTATAAGTCTGCATTACACTTGTAGGTGAAACTATAAATAGCAACTTCTGATAATATACCTATTTTTTAACTTCGTTGGCATCATATCGCTTTGCTTTTAAATCATTTTAGCTCTAACGTTATCAATCGGTCAATTATTATTTTTTGTATTTTTTGATCATTAAGATTTTATCACTAATTTTGTGATTATCATAACAAAACGTACAATTTTCAATATTGCAAATGTATCAGCTCTCGACATTTTACATGGGGCCATTGTTACCTATGTTGAAATATGTGTCTAGGGTAAACACGAAATGTAGTTCGAAAAATGATGTGCATTATTTTCTATACATCGCTAGGCAATAATGATTATATCATATTGAGTGGATTATGATGTCGACATTAATCCATCTGCCACGAAACCTATTCCTCAACTGTGAGTCCATGCCTTAATGTTTTACTGAAACATTTTTCAGATTATTTTCCTCTCAAATATAGTTTTAACCTGAATCAGATTCAAGCTGTATGACTCTAATATTACTTCCCTTGATATTGCAGTGTGAAATATAACTGCTTTACTCCTGAATATATTTTCTCCCACTCCACAGAATTTTGCAGGAAAAATTTGTTTGAAGAAAAACAATCATCTATAATACTGCGTTCATATTTACAATCTACATTTATCTCACATTCTTTTGGAATAGAAAAATAAGTATACATCTGCAATATAAGACTGTTCTACACAAACATGAACTCATTAAAAAATCTACACAATTTAAGTAAATAAATTGGTAAAATTATGTTCTTGAATTTCAGATTTCTGAAGGTTAAACCTCTATCAAAGATTGTTTAATTCACTATTGATGAGTAGCCCTTCAATCACACAAAGACAAAACGTTGGTAGTGAAGCTTGATGCACATGATATTACAAGTATATAACATTTTCGTATTTTTTGGAAATATCAAGAATTTTTTTGCAATTCATTCATTGAAAGAAAAAACGGTTTTCAGAGAACGTAACAGAACTCCATTGAAAAGACGGTACAGAGTCTATTGATTATGAATTAACATTGGAGAATACAGTCAGTGGTTTCACTCTCCATGTATTTGAAATTGTAAGATCTGCAAGCTTGATTCTTTGGATAGGTATTATCGTATAATCTGTGATGGTTTTTTTTTGGCTGTTTTGTTTTGTTTGTATTAAAATATTTTAAATCAATAACCATTGTTGATTATTATTTGCCCTTCCTCTTTGCCTTATTCTGCATATACATGTATATAGATTCATTACAGTGAAAGAAATGTTTACATTATTCAACTTGTTTCCTCAAACAGAATACAGTAAGCTATATCTCCGGAAATAAAATCCAGAAAGGAAGAAAATACATTTATATCTATTTGATAATCTTAGATTTGTACAAAGTGATCTATATATAAACATATATAGGAAATAAACAACTGTTAAAATATATACTAGTATTTATTCCAGGAAATCATTTTTTATTGTGTAAAATGTGTATGTTGAATATAGACGTTTTGATTTTTGTACTTTCGATGGGTAAATTTGTTCAACTGTCCACAAGGTAACATTTTTATTTTCATAAATATATCTGAATTTGTTATTGTTAAACATTTTCTCTAAATTTATACTCTCTCTCAATAGCATTTGCAGGCATTGTATTTTTGCAGCACTCAAGATAATATGACACCAGAGCGCTGTAAAATGTGGGACGTACTGTTGAGGAAATGTGTGGGTATGTTGATTATTTTTAATCATTGAATTATTTTCTAGAATACTTTTTTGTTTTGACAAATTGAATATGCCTCAGTACATTATGATAACTGAGCAGATATATCTTTGAACGTCAGGATATCGCTAAAAATATATAAACTAGTGCAAACATTCTTCTGTCTCTATATATTGTACATATTATAGAATATCACACTGCTATTTTGTTATCGGCCCTGGTATCAGCACGAGCGGTTGGTATCTGCCCAAGCCCGGAGGCTTTTTTCTTTGTTTTTCTTCTAACAATATAGCCAAGGAATTGTTTTTTCAAGAGTTGCACAAAAACGGATCCTTATTAAACGTTTACTAGATTATTACTCTTACAGAGTGTGAGGAGGGATATTTGGGATTAAATTGTACAATGGAATGTCGCTATCCAAGCTACGGAAAAGATTGTCAAACGGCATGTAACTGTCCACAGTCTTACTGTAGTTTTATACATGGATGTGAAGGTACTTATTCTGTTAAGCACTTACGAATATACAAAATAAAGTCTATCGACTTAATGATTTTAAAAAGAAGTATATTTTTCAAATATTTAAAGTTTTTGACTGAAGAATATACACTTTTCCTTTTTTAATAATGAGATTATCTTACGTTCGGTTTTCATTTTCATTGTATTTTTTGTCTCCAAATTTTCTAAAGTGAGGAATATTCATTTTTATCCGTCTGTCAGTCTGGAATAAAAAAATTTCACTTTTATCATAATTTTTGAATGAGATGAGATACGGAATTCACTATTCACCTTTGACAAAACCTTTCTAAAAATATCATGATTTTTATTACATGTATGACATTTAACACAGCCTTTATATCATTACTCGTATATATATCCAATTGATAACCGAATTTAACGGAATTCTATGTACCAGTACAATGTGATGCATACATAACTTAAGATAGGCAGAGGTTTTTGTTTTTTTTTTTTTTCAGAGGAGAAAGTTATTAAATTTGCCAGAATGAAAACGCTTTTTGTTTTCATGCACTTTTCATTCTCTGTCATTTAAATTGACATGTGTTTACGACGCAAGGGATAAGGAACTTCGATTTGCATGTATAATGTTCCTCAAATAAGATGACTGAACCGAAAATTGAATAATGATTCTTTTTTGGCTTATTAATGATAAAGACATTTTTTTTATCGATTATTCAAATGAAATTAAATAAGTTGAATGTCCATTGTTATGCGCTTGGATCAATAGATCCAAGTCGTTTATTGTTTTTGTCCTGTCTGTTTGTCTGCAAACTGAAACCTTCGCCATAATTTTTGAACAATGAAAGCTAGAGACGCCATATTTGGTATAAATACTTTAGTGATTAGGTTCTTTAAAATGACATCAACGTCAATGACCTTGTGACCTTGACTGTGACCTAAATTCTAAAAACAGTTTTTTGTCTGCAAACTTTAAACTTCGCCATAACTTTTGAACCATGAAAGATAGAGACTTCATATTTGGTATGTCTAATCCACTAATAAAGTGAAATGACAACAAGGTCTATCACCTTCTGACCTTGACTGTGACCTATATGCTAAAAATAGCTTTTTCGTAACTTCGCCATAACTTTTGAACCATAAGAGATAAAGACTTTATATTTAGTGTGCATAATCCACTTATCAAGTTCTTTCAAATGACACTAAGGTCAATGACCTTGTGACATTGACTGTTACATATATTACAAAAAATTGCCACCGGACGCATAGTTTGTCACAAACACATCTTGTTTTGAATGTTTTTATTGTTTTTATTTACCAGCTGGATCTCCGACGCTTTCAACAAAGACACAAGACACTTTCAACGGATTTACATCTACAATATCAAGAAAAACAAATCCTACAAGTAGGTACAGTACACATTGTGAGATTAAGTCAATACAAATATAAACATGACTTCTTTATTTCTGTTTATAACTCAAATACCATAATCAAATTGATCAATGATTTGGAATGAAATTGCAAAATTTAATTTTTATTTCCCTCAGTTAATGTCTGTCCGACTGGATATCAAGGAAATACTTGTGAACTGAAATGTCGATATCCCAGCTACGGTGATGGCTGTCAGTCTCGGTGTATATGCCAGGAAGATTACTGTTATCATGACACAGGCTGTAATAGTAGGTTTCTATACAAATTATAGCACTGTAGTAAGCAAATCAAGCGGCGCAAAGCATCGCTTTACACTCAAAACTTTTAAAGAAACGCAGAGAGAGAGAAATGCATTTCGATGTTCTTTTCACAGTAGCAAGAAAAGTTCGCAAAAATAATAAACTAACCTTCGTTGATGTAGTAGAGTTTGCAGGTTAACGTAAAAATACATATCCAGTATAATAGTTCAGGTGCAAGGATAATGAAACAACTAAAGCTAAGATCAAATTCCTTTAAGTTGTATTAACGTGCTGTAGAAGTCAAGTAAACCAAAACTGATTGTTTTTTCTTCTGAAATTGTATTCCTATTATGCCATCTTTAGTTTGTCAGCATAAACAATGAGAAAGACTAACTGAAGACTTTGTAGAGAGTTATGAAGTTTCAGTCTAGGTACGTCTACCTCTTCCATATTACAAAATGCAAACGGATCTTTTGATTATCTTAACATATGTAAACTTTTTTTTTCAGTGTCATATGATAATTGCAGAAGATATCCTCCAGAGAGACGAAATGCTTTGCTGAACAGCATAATTTTGCTTGCTGTATGGGCAGTTATCCAATTTACAGTTTATCTTTACCTTTCTTTCTTCTACAAAACATGAATTGCAACAGAATATGATCTCAAATAACCCCATGCTGAAATTTGGTTGTTAAGAAAAAAAAATTAAAATAGTTGTAATGAAAAATATATTTGAGTATTATTTATACATTTTATACTTGTGTGAATTTAGACATTTTTTGAAAAGCATTGTATATCTAGAAAAACCAGGGTATGTTTAAAATTGCATTAAAAATACTTTCATTTACATCGTTTTGTGGTGAATTCACTGTAAGTAGATTAAAGTAAAAAACAAGTCGCTATCCTTTATAAAAAGACTACAATACGTGGACCATATGCATGTATTTCTAACCGAAATTCAATTAAATAGAATTTCTCCGTTTATTAGATATTCAGGTAGGTTCGTTCACATTTTCTACAATGTCAGATCTACCTACTTCGACTGATAGTACTTTCATAGCAAAATTTTTAAATTTTATCTCTGAGTTGCATTTAGTTTTGTCTTCTTAAAATTCGGGCTATTTTGATACATATAGCCTATAATGACTGGGACTTTACATTTACTAGTATTTTATATTTATTCGGAAGAATTCTAACAATGGAAAATTAGATCTGGCCTGGGGGCCATAAAACTTAGACGAGCTCACTTTTGATCTCAGTCTCACTTTTTCCACTATAATATCTTTGGTAAAATTGAAACTGAGCTCAAAAGTGAGCTCGTCTAAGTTTTATGGCCCCCAGGCCTGATGGTACACGTGTAGCACAGCTCTGTAGTACGCAGATTTTTTCCGGAGCCCCCCACATGGAAAACCGGTGCTACAGGCTTGTATCAAGCTGTATTTGGATTCCCGTATATCAAATTATCTTACGAGCCTTGATGAGCAAAACTAATGTCGGTGAAGCCTTGTTCTATCTTTTAAAACCTAGAACTAGTTGAATGATTATTTTAAATCAAGTTGTTAAGTTATCTACATACTGCAAGTTCTTCCTACTTTTTAAAATGCTTCTGCCATAGAATCGATGTTTAGTTTGTATATAAAGGTATGTGTATAAGATTGAAATTTGGATCCGCCAATGAACTCTCAATCGCATCATCTCGGGTTTTTCCGTCAGAGGTCGGAGAGCTAGTCGGAGAAGCCCAAGAAGTTGCGATTAGTCTATCGGAGTCAGCCGAGGATTGCTAATTGGAGCTCTCTAGAATTCTCGCTCATGCGTAGCCTGGCGTATGCCAAGTGCATCCAGTTTAACCTCGCTTATATATTTACTGCTTGGACCTCAGGGTCCACGCAAATATACATGTAACGTGTGCCTCTAATTTCATACATTTAAGCAAGAAAATTTTGGATTTGAATTTCCCATTTCAAATTCTTTTCTTTTTGGGTGAGTGGGGTCCAGGTCCCAAGACCATGAAATGAGGACAGACTTAGGTCAAAACTTCAAATCAATATAGCTATAAAAATTCTTTTAATAACAAAACAAAATTCTTACCATAATATTATGCTTAATGGAATATTATACAAACCGGAAAATTTTTAATAATGTACGTATCATAGATCAAAATCATATGAAAGCCCGGAAGGGAAATGTCCATTTTTCGAAAAAGCAAAGTCAAATTTGAGATCTCGAATGACAAAATCCGTTCCTACAGATTACCAATTCGTTCCCTCGATTTATAATTCGGGATCTCGAATAACATATTTCATCGTCAGAGTTTACTTATTCGTTCCCTCGAGATCTCGAATAACATAATTCATGCAAAATCAAAATTTTGACTTACGTCTGTTCTCAGTTTATGGTCTCAAGGCCAGGTCAGTAGATTTTTTCTCTAATATTAATGCAAATGTTGAACTGATACATTTCATTCTGGGTGTAATCAGCGCAATATGAAATCTTTTATTGATAAATTGGTATAGAATGATCTGGACTCAGTTATTTGCAATATTGTCCTGATTCAATGCAATCTCTACGAAAGGATTTACTTACATGCCATTGAGTCCTTGGTTAACTTGGTTAAGTTTAAACTGTTTTCTTTCTAATAAAACAAAGTATACAAGGTATAAAAAGACTTGTAGTTATATCATGGTGACAATGATGAAACAGGAGAAAAGAGAACGCATTATGTCTTTTTGTCACTTAACACCTTCTAAAGCCTTCAACTCCAGATGAACTATTACCAATCGAATGTCGGTACGATATAGTGAGCTTAAGATTGAAGATAATAAAGAGTCTAACACATACGTTTCATATCTGGATGTTTAATTAGAAAAAAGAGGTTTATGAATCATAATTACATTGAAACAACAAAACTTTATGATAAACGTGATAAAAACTTTTCAATCATCAACTCTTCTCATCGATGCAGCAATTTATATCTCTTAGTTGATTCGATACGAAGAGGCTATCTCTATATATGAACTGATTCTAATACGAGATAAGGCATTGACAAACAAGTTGATGAAACAAGAATATAAACAGTCATATTTAAAGTCATCATTTCGTAAGTTCTATGGTTGACGCAATGACATTATCGGCAAATAAAATTTATCATTAAGTCAAATGCTGACTGACGTTTTCTCATACTTAGTTACTCCATTTTTTATACGCTGAATAGACTTTTGATCTTGTATACAGTTCCTTTCTAAATGTTTCATTGATTAACAATGACACTTCAATCTCTCCTTTCTTGAATATATTGATTTCTGATAACGGTAATTCTGAAATCACTTAGCACTAGCCTATTGTCCAATATACCCTTACTCCTTAACCAGGGTTCTCTACAATATGCCAGCGTTTTAAAGAAAAAAATTTCTACTTTTAATTTTTTTATACCTGTTTTATTAAATTTGTAAACGTAAAAAATGGTCAAATAGTATTAAACTGGTCTTTCTCGGTTTAAAATTAATTGTACACAGGACACAGTTCTATGTATTGAATATTATCTGGTTTACTTATTCTGAATATAAATTCAAAAGTTTTTCTAGTATACAAACAAACTTTTCAACCAATTGACGTCGAGGATGATTTTTCCGCGGATATATACTGTACTTCTTTATATTTCATTACTTTGTAAGTTTTTACAGGATGCGTTTTTATTCGGGAATTACGAAAACAAAACTACCTTGATTACTTCGTTTTTGTTCATGCAATTTTTTCATACTGAAGCTTTAGACGAATATGACAGCTTTAGTTTTAAAAAAAAAGTCAGTGAACTGGAACAGAGTTTGTATAATAGTCTTTAGGCTGCATGCTGTTGATTTTTAGTATGATTTTTTAAGTACTTCAAAATTTACTTTTCTTATACAAGTTTTTTTCTTCATTTTACAACGTCAGTACAACAATCCTTCACTTAAAACTTTTTTCCTGCCTTACTTTCGGTGAAAAGGTAACAAAATTCTTTCCGTTTATAAATGTGGACATATAACTAATATTTTAAGCATTTCCTTTATATAAAAATTTTAAAAACACGGATTTCAAACATAGACTCCAATTTTCTTTATTTTTAAGGACATTACCTCTTTGACATGTTCTGTTGAAAACAATAAATAAAATATATCTACATATAATTTTAAAAATCAAAAAAATTTAATAAAATATCAGCTGATTTGAAATAATCAATTGTTTCTATTAGCAATGAAGGTGTTACAATCCATAAAAACCAAGTGCAATTAGGTTTTGAAACAAAAGGAAAGATACGCATAAACTATAAACTGCAAGACTGCTATACTGCTAAGGACAATGGTACTGTACAGTATTGCGTCTACGTTTCCTGGATGTTTCATAGTATTACAATGCGGATGTGAGTCTGCAAAAAAGATATTTGATAGATGTATAAATGGCATACTACAAAAGAGATTTTTATTTTGAAATTGATTGATTGTATATTGTTTAACGCCTCTCTCGAGAATTTTTCATTCATATCATTATGGAGATGCCACCACTTGCGCGTGGAGAGCTTCAGATTTGTTCTATACAGCACTCAGGGCCATTGAGCAGGGAGGGATCTCTTACGTGCCAGCACCTACTGCGACACTGGACATCGGTTTATACAGTCTCATCCTTCAGACTGGTCTCCACGTCCCACAGTAGGGTTCGAATCCGCAACGTAGGGATTAACTCCTTACTTCGCGACTCTAGAGCAGATGGTCTAACCACTGCGTCACTCAATTTTTAGAATAAAAGTTTGAGAGATTGTCAAATACTATACTGTGCCTCTCCCTGCTATTTCCAAAACAATAATTCAATTGTCAAACATATACTTGAAAATTCAGATAAGTCATTTGAATTCTATGAATGATATTGGTTTGATAAAATACCTGTGGGATTAACCGTGCATATTCTCCATAGGAGCTGCGTTAAAATTTTTAATTATAAACTGCTCTGAAGCAAACATGATATAATCAAAATCAAATGCTACAAAATGTATTTAAATTAATATAATTAATTATATTTTTGAGTTACTTTTAATTTATGAATGTAATAAAAGCCTTATCGAAAATAATTGTAATTCAGCTTTTTCGAAATACCTCGTTGTTCAATATCTGTTATTACCATTTCTAGAACATGATGTTATTCAAGAGAGATCCTCAGTTTGACCCATTTTATTTATATGAACAATCTTTGGTGTTTTTTATCAAGTTTATTGTGATTTGATGCAACAATATAGGAATGAAAATATGTTTAATTGATAAAACATTGTCAATTTATTTAAATGTCAAATTTAACGCCAAAAAAAGACTTTTTCATATAACGCTAGCTCTATTTGTATAACGCTTGCTCCGTGATGGATAGCTCATAGGCTCTATACCAGAGCGCAACTGGCCGAAATCGACAAAAGAGTAGGTGCTATCTGTTCCTATATCAAGCGCACAGTACTTGTTGTCGAACTTTACGGGTCTTACGGATCAGACTATAATAGTTGATTCTAAATGTCACAGCGGACGCTCATATGATAAAGATTATTTACTATTTAAGAGCATAATTTGCTAAAACATAAAATACATGTTAAAGAATAGTTGAAATCCAGGTAATTGTAAAAAAAAAACATTTCTAAACTTCCACTGGTCCAGAGGATAAAATAGAAAA